ACAATGAGGTGGATAGGATGACATGTTCAGTGGAAACCAGCCATCCTTTTTCCCCAGCTACTCCTGTCATTGCTCAATGGGTTCATGAACAAAGTGGTCATTGTGGCAAGGATGGAGGTTATGCATGGGCTCAGCAACATGCACTTCCATTTACCAAGGCTGATTTGGCTACCACCACTCCTTAGTGCCCAGTCTGCCAGCAGCAGAGACCAACACTGAGTCCACAATATGGAACCATTCCTCAGGGTGATCAGCCAGCAACCTGGTGGCAGGTTCATTACATTGGACCACTTCCATCATGGAAAGGACAGTGTTTTGTTCCTACTGGAATATATACTTATTCTGGATATGGATTTGCCTTCCATGCATGCAGTGCTTCTGCCAAAACTACCATCTGTGGACTTACAGAATGCCTTACCCACCATCATGGTATCCCACACAGCATTGCTTCGGATCAAGGGACTCACTTCACAGCAAATGAAGTGCAACAGTGGTCCTATGCTCATGGAATTCACTGGTCTTACCATGTTCCCCATCATCCAGAAGCAGCTGGCTTGATAGAACAATGGAATGGCCTACTGAAAACACAATTATGGCACCAGCTAGGTGGCATACCTTGAAGGGTTGGGGCAATGTTCTTCAGGAGGCTGTATATGCTCTAAACCAGCATTCAATATAGAGTGCTGTTTCTTGAATAGCCAGGATGCACGGGTCCAGGAACCAAGGGATGGAAACAGGAGTGGTACTGCTCACTATTACCCCTAGTGACCCACTCAAAAAATTTTTGCTTTCTGTCCCTGCTACCCTATGCTCTGCGGGTCTGAAGATCTTAGTCCCAAAGGAAGGAACACTCCCACCTGAGACACAATACTGACTGCATTGAACTGGAAGTTAAGAATGCCACCTGGTGTATAGTTCAGCTAACAAGGGACAAGGTTGTATTCACTTCTGGGTCACAGCCAGCTACCCAGAGGGACCAAGTAGTTGAATCTGTGGGCCCAGGACCATAGTCACAGGGGACATCAAGTTCAACTGGCATAACATACTACACAAAACTTTGTTCCACCTCCTACTTTGGCGAGTAGCAACTGGGATCTTAAAAGTCTGCAAGCAGCCATCTAGATGCAATGACGGGTCTCTCTTCGTCCAATGCAAAGAAGAATGAAGAAAACCAAAGATTCATGGACAGAATTAGTCCTAGCAACTGGTACACCATGTGATCTGCAGCCTACACGACTATGAGACCAGAAAACTAGATGATGCCCAGCTACCAATGTCAACCACTCGAAGGGGGATCTATGTAGGAGACCCTGGATAGAAAGAGAGAACAATGTGGAACAAAACTCAAAAGCATTTGGAAAAAAAAAAAAGAGGGGGACCAAGGTTTGCTGGTCTGATAGAGCCTGGTGGAACCACTGAGACTATGGCCCCTAGCTGCCCTTCAGGTCTATAACTGAACCCACACCTGTGGCTTCCAGCCAAGCAAAAGACAGACATGGGAGTTGAACATTTACCTGAGGTAAATACACTCCTTGGAGAGAACAAGCATGGGAGAAAGAAGGGCTGTTTATGCACAGGTAGACAGCTCAGGGGGCAGGGGTGCATGGAGAGATGGACACAGGGAAGAGGTGACTGTTGGGAGTAAGTGGGAGGGGAGCTGTTGGCACTGTGGTGAATTGTGGTCAATGTCATGAGACAAAGTGTATGTGACCTGCTGTATGGAAAGTGAATTTGCTCTGTAAATTTTCACCCAAACCACAATTTAAAAAAAAAAAAAAAAGAATGCCATCTAGCTATTTTGGCTTCCTCAAACCTCTGGATCAACAGACAAAGAAGGGTGTTACTGTACTATTTGGTGTGATAGATCCTGATTACCAAGGGGAAATTGGATTGACTTTACATAATGGAGGTAAAGAGGAATACATCTGGAATATAGGAGATTCTTTAGGATGTCTCTTAGTACTACCATGCCCTGTGATTAAAATCAATGGAAAATCATAGCAACCCAATTCTGATATGACTACTAATGGCCCAGACCCTTCAGCAATGAAGGTATGGATCACCCCACCAGACAAAGAACAACGACCTGCTGAGGTGCTTGCTGAGGGCAAGGGAAATACAGAATGGGTGGTGGAACAAAGTAGTTCTGAATATCAGCTACGACCACATGACCAATTGCAGAAAGGAGGACTGTGATTCTTATATTTATTCATTGTATATGTGCACCAAATATTTTTGTTTCCTTCTGTTATGAACTGTGAAATGTAAATAAGGTTAATGCGTTTCAGTTGTACGCATGTTAGCATATCATGTTAGGTGTAAATATGAATTTAAAATTGTCCTAATTTAGAGATTATATATGGTTAAGAAGATGTGTTGGGCAATCTACTTCTGTAGTGATACTGCCTTGGAAACCCAAGGAGGAGTCGCTACGAGTAGGATCTGACTTGACGGCACCTAACAACAGCAACAAAGAAGATGTGTACAACTGCCAAGCTGACAAGGGGTGGACTGTGATAGTTGGAGCTGTGTGTCAACTTGGTTGGACCACAATTCTATGCAGTTTATATACAGAATTACATTGTGATACATTATGATGTGGGTTATTCCCATGATGGGATTGGATGTATATGTTCTGAGCAGCCAATCCGTTGGAAGGGAATTTCTCTGGGGGTGTGGTCTGCTTCCAATATACTTATGGATATCCTGGGAAAAGAGACACTCTTCTGTGGATTGGGATCCTGTTGTGCTGCCTATAACTGACCGTGAGCAAACAATCCACCATTCAGCCTGGAGATCTTGGATTCGTCATTTGTTGGGAGTCAACAGCCAGTATACTGCCTGCCAACCTTGAGATCGTCAGTCCCTATAGCTGTATGAGTCAGGAAAAGCCTCCAGCTTGACATCTGTTCCAAGAACTTTGGACTTGCCAGCTTCTATAAGTGTTTGAACCATGTTCCTAAGATAAATTTCTCTTTCTCTCTCTCTATAAGCTTTACTGGTTTTGTTTCTCTAGAGAACCCAGCCTGTCACAGTGGAATTACAGGCATTAAGACTTGGAGATAACAGAACTCAAAACCCAAATTTAGGAACAGAAGGATATATTCTATATACAGACAACAGATCTGTATGGCAGAATAACACATGGAAAGTCACCCACGTGGAAATGTATGAGGATGAGGGGTGAGAAAGCATGCCTGCAAGCATTTGGGTGAGATAAAAGGAGAGGACCACAAGTGATAGCTTGCCTGGCCAGACACAGAAAATGGATGATGCATTCCTAATCCAGATCATGAAACTGGTACCAAGGCAAGGGAGAACTTCCAGCTAACATCAGATGACAGGCCACCTGATCACTGATCGTCAAGGGGAGGGAAAGAAGAACCTAATGCACATAATGAGGCAAGTTTCAACAGGAAGATGTTGCACCTGTAGGTGGTATGGAGGCAGAAAACAAGTGCAGCATTACTATCGAAGTGGTCTCAACCCACTGCTTTAATAATTGGTTCTAGAATCTTGGCCAGGATTGACACTTAGTGGACCCGTTCTGTGAGTCTTTAAAGATCAGATAACAGCTCTGCAAAACTTTTATTTCAGTACGTAAATGAGTGGCCTTAGGATATAGTAGGTGCGGTAGCTAAATTTGTATGTCAACTTGGCTGGGCCTGGTTGAGTGGCTGGGCAGCTGATGGCAGTTATTCCCCATGATGACAATGGCAATCAACTCCATGATGGGATCTACCACAAGCAGCTGAGTAGCTGCCTTTCGGCTGTGGTCTGCTTCATGTATGTAAGGAGAAGCCTTGGGGATAGCCTCTAGCTTATGGCACACTTGGACCCTGCATGTAGCCGGGTCGTTGTTCAGCAGCCTGCCATGCTCTGCTGACCTTGGGACTTACAATGGACTTAAATTAATGGCCTGCCGTGTGGTTTGGTAACATCAGGACTATGCCTTTTTACTCGTCAACCTTGGGGCTTCTCAGCCTCAGCAGCCAGTGGCTGTCTGAATGAAGAAACGCTTCTAGCTCCAGTGGGCTGGAAGCAGGAGGCAGAGCTGGACCCCAAGGTTGAGGGGCTTTCACCCAGCCCCTAGAGCCTGGCAGTTTGAACTTGGACTTAAAGTCTACAAACTGTAAGAGAATAAACTCCTGTTTGTTAAGGCCATCCCATTTGTGGTGTATTCTTGTTAGAGTGGTACTAGGTAACCAGAGCAATAGGTTTCTCATACTTCATGTGTTTAAGCCAATGGTTCTCAATTGTGGGTGGTTTTGTCTCTCAGGGACATTTGGCAATGTCTGGAGACATTTTTGTTTGTCACAACTAGGGGGTTCCTATTGGCATCTGGTAAGTAGAGGTTAGGGATGATACTAAGTATCCTAAATGCACAGGGCAACCATTTAGAACAGAATTATGTGGCCCAACATGCCAACAGTGCTAAGGATGAGAAACCTTGGTTTAAATAAATAGTAAAGAGGACTAAGTATTTCAAGAATCTGATGGTATTTGTGAGCAAAAGGCATTTAAAATTTCTCCAAACCTTGAAGGAGACTATTACTATATTAATATAGAGGGAGAAGAAAAGGGCTCTGGGCAAATGACAGAAAAAGCCCATACTCCCTCTAACTTGCTGCCGTCTGATGTCTGTCTTTCTTCATGTGCTTGCTTCTATTCACACTGGCATGCATTTGGAAACACCCAGAAGTAAACCAAGTCTTTTAGCCCAAGCATGCTGTTCTTTTCCTACGCTAAATGGAAGCACATCAAGTGCTTTTTCTCTCCATATTAAATGCTTTTTACCAATTTATTACCATTAAATGGTGTGGACAAAGATTTTCCTGCTGCAAAGCCTTCAGGCCTTGGCTTGGTCTCAGATGGGCACCTCTGGCTTATGGTAAGTAGAAATGTGATATACACTCAGCTCAGATGATTAAGCAGGCCCCTGGAACATAGGAAGTCCTTTCTTACTTGATCTGTTTTGGTACTGATGCTGGATCACTTACCTGAACGTAAGAAATGAAAGAATAACACAGGGGAGTCAGATGGGAACCAGACAGCTTCACCTGCAGCCAAGAAGAAGGAAGCCAATGTAACTGCAGGAATAAAACCCTCTCCCCATTCCTAGGAAAGGCACTCTCAACTCACCAGCTTTTCCATATTTTTTGGAATTCTGTGGGAGCTCCAACACACCTGGAGATACTAACAGACAAAAGATTCTTAGATTTAGCATATCACCCTACATAAATATCTTATGAAACTACAGTCAACTATTTCAGTGAGTTTATGGAGGGTGACTCATCACTGAATGCAGAGGGAAAAGAAAAAAAGCTACTATGTTCATGGAGAACCCAAGACACAAGGCTGTCTTTTCTCCCTCCTCCAATACTCTTGAGCTCTCCAGCAAGGAAGGGTTTGTTGCTGACTTTCTCAGCTCATTGCTTTAAAATTCCTTCAAGGTGATAGTCCCTGCATTGAGAAAACCAGTGACTTTGCCGTTGGTCCTTTTAAAAATGTCAATGAAGAGGAGTGGTGCTCTGTATTTATATTACAGAAGCTCAGTAGCCATATCATGCAGCACATTGTAAGGGATGGCCGAACTTTACTTAGGTAAACTGTGGGGTGTCTTTTCTGGGTTGTCTATCCCTTTGTAATTATTTTAACATAGTTCATTGCAGTCAGAACTAAGCTACCTGGTTCCCATCACTCTCTGAATGCTGAGGATCAAAATATTACAAAGTGCAAGAAAAAGTGTTTGTTGTTAAGATACTAAGAAGCATTAACTTAAGCTCAATAAGGCAAAAAGTATGCCTTGTATTTGTTTTTTAAATAATCTTCCTCTCCACCTTAGTGTCTGACCTGGCATTTAACATCTATTTGTTAAAGAAATGGAGTCCTTGGGTGATGCAAGCAGTTACTGTGCACATGGAAAAGTTGGAGGTTCTAGTGTACCCAGAGGTACCTTGGAAGAAAGACTTGGTGATCTACTTCTGAAAAATCGGTCACTGAAAACCCTTTGGAGCATAGTTCTGCTCACACACATGGGGTTGCCATGAGTCAGAAATGACTTGATGGCAACTGGTTTTGTTAAAGGAATGAAAGAAAGAAAAAACATCTCTTTAGCGCTCAGACTGGTTGGAACTGGTCTAATTTTGTGTTACAGGAAACAGATGTTATTCTATAGCTATAGAGCAGATTAAGACTTAAGAGTTTGAAAGTTGTATAAACTCTTAATCAGATGCTCCTATTCCAAGGAAATAAGGGTTTCCAAAAGCAGATTTAGAAGTATGCTATCAACTGTTATTCCCTGGCCTTCAGAGGACCCTGACACTCACTGACCAAGCCAGAATCAAACCATGACTTGCAAAGATGGAGTCATGAGCTCTGTTCAGGGGCACTGCAGCTCAGGGGGCTGCTGTCCTGGTCTTGTCTCCTGGCTGGCTGGAATGGAATGGTGGTAGTGAACCTGACCATCTTTCAGATACTCACATACTTGACAAGTGCTGTAAGAATGGTGTACATTTTGCATAGGTCCTTTAGCAAGGTGTCTACACAGCTGCCTGATGGCAGGGCTGTCTGTACCAGCTCATGGAAAAATGTAAGCAGAGTTCCCAGTTGAATGATGATGGCTTTCTCAATGGGATGATTTGGTGGGGTTGTCTGAGAAGAGTCCTCTTCTGAAGGGAAACAAAATTGACACATTCAAACCCAATCGGTGTTATTTTCCAGTTAAGAGTGAGAGAAATCTAAAATCAACTAAATACCATTAAGTAGGAAGTCTGTAAGGAAAATGAATACGTTAATTCATCATGTAGAGAGATTGCTGCAGGAATCTTACCCTCCATTTCTTCCATTATATTAAAAATCCAGCTCAGGGGCCCACTTTTATGCAGCAGTCCAACATGGATTTAGGGTGACTTTGCTCTCATCATATTCCCTGGCCCCTGCCTTGAACTCATCTTACCTGATACGATTTCTTGGCTCATTTGTCCCTTAAGCCTGGTGATTAGCCAGTCTACTTCTTCTAGGACCTTCTCAGCCTGACTCAGAACAAGTAACTGTGAAAGAAAACAATGCCTGGGTTGCCTCACTGCATACAGCTGATGGGGTAACAGTCACCACGGCCACTACAATTTACTCTTCACATGGAGAAGAATGGAAGGAACGACACGGCTAGTCCCTGGCTCAGGATCAACACTTACACAGACAGTGGGAGCAGCTGTTCTCAAATTCACCATGGCAAAGTGGTTTGTTTTCTCCACCTCCACATCCTGGGGAGGAAAGGAGAGGTGAGATGTAATGGCAGTAAGGCTGTCCCCCCTCAGCTCCATCCCTGCACAGTACGTTGTACTGAAGGCTTATTGCAGTACCTGGTCTATGTCTCCAAGCTGCCCATGGATATCCTGGGACAAGTCACGCAGCAGGGAGACAGGACTCTTATATAAAACATGGAGGCTGAAGAGCAAGTTCATTAAGCCCTTACAAAATGAGGCATCCTCTAGGAGTAGGAAGGAAAGAAAGTTACAAGTTATAACCCAGTTAGGTTCTTTGGTGGGGAGGTAGAGGGGTGCTAACCAGAATACATGGCTTGTCATGTCCCAGGCACAATATCCCAGTGTTGTACAAACTCCAGCCAAGCACAAGCTCCCACAATGGTGCACTTTTATCCATGTGACAAACCAAAGCAGACGTTTCTCATTATTGGCCAGTCATTATCATCCAGATCAACAAATAAAACATTCTCAGCACCCTAGAAAGCTCCCTTCTGCCTCACTTGCCCCACCAAGGCAAACTGCTATCCTGATGTCTAACATCACAGACAAGTTCTGTCTGATTGTGAACTATTAAAGGAAATCATATAGTGAGGACTCTGTCTCGCTCATTTTGTTCAACATTATTTTTATGAGGTTCCTCCATGTTGTCATGTGTAGGTATAGGCTGTTCATTCCCATTACTGTATAGTATTCTATCATGTGAATAATATCACAACTTATTTATCCATTCTACTGCTGACGAACATTTGGGGTTCCCCACCCAGTTTTGTTTTTTTTTTTGGGGGGCTATTAAAATAGTGCTGCTATGAGAATTCTTCTATATATTTCTGTTGAGAGTACAACTGCTAGGTCACAGTGAGATTTTGCCAAACAGTTTTCCAGAGTGGTTAGACCAACTTATACCTCCACCAACAGTGAATGAAAGTTCCAAAAGTTTTACATTCTTGCCAACAATTACATTGGTATTGTGTATCTTTTTCATTTTGGTCATTCTGGTAAATGTGTAATGGGGCCTATCTTTTCTAAATGCTATTTGGTGATTTTTTTTTTTTTTTTTTAATTTTTATTGTGATTTGGGTGAAAGTTTACAGAGCAAATTCATTTTTCATATAGCAGTCCACATATGTTTTATTTCATGACACTGACTGCAATCCCCACAATATACCAGCTTTCTTCCCACTTCCTCCTTGTAGTTACCTCTTCCTTGTGTCCTTTCCTATGCATTCCTGCCCCCTGAGCTATATCCCTGTGCAAATACTGCCCTCTGTTCTATGATTGTTCTAAGGCGTTTATCTACCTGATGTAAATGTTCACCTTATATACCTGTCTATTGTTTGGTTGGAAGCCATGGGAGTGAGTTCAATTCTAGGCCTGAAGGGTAACTAGGAGCCACAGTCTTGGGGGTCTCACCAGGCTCTATCAGACCAGTAAACCTGGTGTTTTTTATGATTTGAGTTGTGTTCCACATTGTTCTCCCACTTTAGGTGGTGATGATTTTTTAAAGAGTATAAAAGGAAACATGGTAGGAACCTTACCTAGGCTGTTTTCCTTGCACATCTTAGATGTCCAGGATAACATCTGCAAAAACTGAATTGAAGATCATTCAGATATTAACAAAACATGCCAAAGATAGCTCTAGGTAATGGCAGAATATAACAGCCTTAGATCTTGCCAAGTCTAAGAAAATCACCTGCCAAAATATGTTCCTGATCTAAAGTGGTAACTGACTATGAACAACATCAAAATAAGTCCAAAATTAGGAGAATTACTAATACCTTTTTCATAACATATAATTTAATTCTCAACCTCTATCCATTAAGAGCCAAAGGTCCTGAGGTCTCGGTCCTTATCACTTAAGCCTGTTGGCCCACCATCATGGCCAATGGCTGAAGCTCTATGTTCTCCTTCCCTGCCCCCATGCTCTCCACACATGAAGATATCAGGCTAACTAACAGAGATGTGGGAGAGTAAGAGCCTGGCCAGAAAAACAGCAGAATTGACTTTTAGGAATCAAGAGGCCAAAGGAGAGAAAAAGAAAGAAATGAAAGAGACAAAAACTAGATAGAATTTTCAGGTAAAGTCAACTTCCTGCTTCAGCAGTTCTGTGGAATGGATTTTAGGCTATATAAAGCTATGGAAATGCAGTTAAATACTTAAGTGCAAAATGACTAATGAGATTAGGAAAAAAGTAAATAAGAGGCTAACTGAAAACTGTCTATGTAGTGATATAAAAGATCTCCAGGATACAGTGTTAAATAAGATAGGCAAGCTGCAGAATAATAAGCCTTTATGTGAAGAGGAGTAAGGGTTTGGAATAAGAATCTATATTCAAATTTGCTTGTACAGGAATGAAGAAACTGTTGAAGGACACATAAGAAACTAAAAAAAGTATTTACTTATTTGGGAAGGGGGAACTGAGGAGGTAGAGGACATGGATAGGAGGAAGACCATTTACCATAAATCTTTTTATAATTTCTAATCATGTAACTTTATTGCTCATTCAAAATTAAATTAAAAAAATTTTTAAGAGATTATCTGAACTTATTGGGGGGAGGGAGGCTTAAAAGTAAATTAATAATTTTCCTAGTTTTGGCCTTTCCGAATTTTATTTTTTTCCCCCAAACGTCTCCCTACCCCAATTCTCTTGTGCTATTCCTCGGTTTCTTTCCCAATCTTTTGCTTCTGCAGCAAAAGTAGTAGTATGAAAGATGAAGCTGAAAGCAGAGCGAAGATAGGTTGTTTGAAGCTGGGATAAAGTGAGAAACAAAGGGATTTTCTTTGGGCAATCTGAAACTAAGACAATAGGAAAATCAAGTCTGCCTTCCAATACTTCCACACTGTAACATTCTCTACACTGTATTCTTTTATTTTTAAAAATTTTATTGTGATTTGGGTGAAAGTTTACACAGCAAATTCATTTTCCCTACAGCAGTTCACATCCAATTTGTCTCATGACATTGATTGTAATTTCCCACAATGCAACAGCTCCTCTCTCACTTCCACTCCATAGTTACCTCTTCCCTGTGTCCTTCCCTCCATGCACTCCTGCACCCTGAGCTGTCTCCCTGTGCATACACAGCCCTTCTATTCTCCCACAATTCATCTCTCCAAGGAGTGTATCTACCTAATGTAAATGTTCAGCTCATATGTGTCTTTTGTTTGGCTGGAAGCCACAGAAGTGCATTCAATTCCAGACCTGAAGGGCAGCTAGGAGCCATCCACAGTCTCAGGGGTTCCATCAGGCTCTATCAGACCAACAAACCTGGTGTGTCCCCCCCCGCCCCCGCTTTTTTTTTTTTTTAAATGATTTTGAGTTTTGTTCCACATTGTTCTCCCTCTGTCTCCAGGACCTCCTACAGAGACCTCCCTCCGAGTGGCTGATATTCTCTAGGCATAGTCTCCAGAAGACTAGCTCTTCCCAAACAAGGGCAGACACAAGTAGCCTTATCTTCTCCACAGATCAGGAAGCAGATGTTGTAGGAGCACACAGCCCAGGGTTCCCAGAGATGTTGTTGATCATTCTATAGGAAAATGACTCCTGAATGGAACAGATCCAGATGTGGCCCTTCTCTTCTTTCACGTGTGTGAACACTGACATGGGTGCCCAACTCTACACATATATGTGCACACCTACACATATACACATATCACCTATCTTGGCAGAGTTGTTTCTGCTCTGGAACATTAGTCACACTTTGCAAGTTCATCATTCTTTGTTGACTCCCCTCCTCCCTCCAACTCCCTGATCTCAGCATCAAGTAACCTTGCTGACAGAGCCAACTGCTGAATGCGCCAGCTGCCACCTTCATCATTAACAGTCTATACTTTTCCCTTAGAAAAGAAGGGAGAAACACCGAAAGTGAGGAAGAACACAGATAAACAAGGTTGAAGGTAGCGAAGATAAACTTAAGATTTTTTCTCTGTAGTGTTTTCTGTTTACTCTTAACAGTGGCCAAAAAGCAGCAGTATGTTTTTGCCTTGTAATGGCGGCATGTAAGTATAACATGGTAGAAACACTGAGTAGAAAAGAATACATCTTACAGGTCTTATGTTAACTCAGAAGGATAATTAAATATGTTATTTTAAATAAGCTACACTTTAAGAAGACATTTAGATTTATATACTTTAAAGATGCAATAATCCTTGCCTTCTGAGGGATGTTAATTAGGAGTTAATGAGTGATACCAGTACCTGAGGGGAGGAGGGCTCCAGCAGCTTGGACAAATTGGAAAGAACACTGACTAGAAGGAGGGCTTCTCTGCTATTGAAGTCTTCCTCTTGGCTGCTAAGTAAATTCAGTAAGGACCTCTGAGAAAATAAAGTATATACATGAACATTAGCAGGTATATTCCTACCAGGAAGAGATTCCTGAGGCAGAGACAGAAAGAATTCAAAACTGCCAAAATTCTAAGATAAAATCTGGAAACAAATCTGGATTGAACAGTAGTTTCTCAACTTACTTTAGACCAGAAACCTCTTTGAGAATCTCTTAAAAGAACTAAGGACTCTTACTCCTCCAACCCCTTCCTTCTCTTCGACAAATGCACATTAGGAATGAACTGTGCATCCTGATTTTTGGTAGCTCACAATGCCCTGGAACTCTCCTACTCACTTCAGATTTAGACCACCCCCAACAACCCAGCATTCTCTACACATCTTCCCTATTGATTTTTCTCTATGGGCATGCCTCATTTTATTGTGCTTTGCAGATAGTTTTTTTTAAAAAACAACAACAAAAAAACACACATTGAAGGTTCATAGCAACCTCTGCATCAAGCTAGTCTATCGGCAACATTTTTCCAACAGCATTTTGGTAATTCTCACAGTATTTCAAACTTTTTTATAACACTATTACATACTTAATAGACTACAAACCTCCAAAAAACCAAACCCACTGCCACTGAGTAGATTCCAACTCATTACAACCCCTATTGGGTTTCCAAGCTGTAAATCTTTATGGAAGTAGACTGCCTCATCTTTCTCCAATGAAGCAACTGGTGGTTTGGAATCACTGACCTCTTGGTTAGCAGCTGAGTATCTTACCCACTATACCACCAGAGCTCCATCAACAGACTACAGTATAGTGTAAACATAACTTGTATATGCACTGGGAAACCAAAAAATTCATGTGGCATGGTTTATTGCAATATTTGCTTTATTGCAGTGGTCTGGAACTGAACCTGCAATGTCTCTGAGGTCTGCCTTTATTCCTTTTCTCATCACTGAAATACTACACATTTTATTATTTGTTTGACAGTCTCTCCCCACTACAATGTAAGCTCTGTGAGGGTGGGGATTTTTGTCTTCTTAGTTACCTGCTAAATCTCTAGCACCTACAACAGTCCTGGTCATAGGAGGAACTTTAAAATTCTTTGCTAAATAAAGAAATTCTGTGTGACAGAAGATGCTGCTATTTTGACAACTCTTGTCAAAGTAGAAACTGGATAAGCTTCACTGTTCAGTCTTTTAAGCAATCTGACAGACAAAACCAAACTGTGGATTTAAAGACAAACGCCACAAACTCCTGAATCTCTCCTTATGCCAACTCTTTATGATCTGGGAGACAGTGAGTTCTGCATGTTGGGGTAGTTAACACAAATTCTTGCCGAATCCTTTTTAAATGCATTATTTTCTATTCCAAGAGCTATGTCCTGTTGCTTGGGTGATGACCCAGAAAAAAGATTCCTGTCCTACTTGCTCACCATCTGCCCAGTCTCACCAGCTGCCCTTGTACACAGTCACTTTGCAAGGAGCCTCAGGCAAGTAAAGCAGCTTCCCAAGGTGTCTCACCTGGAACTGCCGGATCTGGAATGCGGCTCTTTGAGTGACACTAACTTCTGCCTCCTCTCCCACGTTATCTGTGACATCGTTATCTGAAAGGAAAAGAATATTATCTTTTTTTTATGGATTCACGCTTTTTTGACTAAAATTTTAGAAAACCCAAATGTTTGGAGGCAGATTTAAATGAATTTGTAAAATTCTGTAATGTCTTAACACAATATTCCATTTTCCAGTCACTATTTGTGTTAAATGTAATCCAGTAAGGATTGATTCTGAATCCACTAGATGTCACTCCTTTGCAACATTAGGACTGTTCTCAGGTGTCCTCTAGTAGGTTAACAAACAGAATAAAGAGGTTTGGAACAGAAGAAGAAACTCAGATGAAGGCAATTTATCAGTATTCAAGGACCTACCCAGAGCCCTGAGAAACTGCTGAATTCTGGGCTGATAGAACTGTTGTACAACATCCAGTATCTTCTGCAAACCCTCCAAGCACAGCAGTGAGATGCTCTTTCCTTTCTCTTTTTTCCCTGACTCTTCCACTGAAGTAGGAATTGAAGTGTATCTCCATAGCAAGACCCTAAAGATGAGAAAAGTGATTTTATCTTCAAAGTCAGGTTCACTGAGGTACAATTTTTTTTAATTGCCCATTCTCCACCCCCTGCAGTCCCTGGTAACTATGCATTTGTCTATTCTAGATCCCTTGTATAAAAAGAACCATACAGTATCTGTCCTTATGTATCTGGCTAAGGCGTTTTGGTGGCATAGTGCCTGAGGCATTTGACTGTTAACCAGAAGGTTGGTGGTTCAAACCCACCAGCCACTCCATGGAAGGAAGACTGGGCAATCTACTTGCACAAAGACTTACCACCTCGGAAACCCAATCGTGGTCACTTTGAGTTAGGAATTGACTCGATGGCAGTGGTTTGGCTTTGGTTTTTTTTCTGGCTAATTTTATTCAGCTTGTTTTTAAAGGTTCATCCATGTCATAGCATGTATCAGAACTTCATTTCTCTTTATGGGTGAATAACACTCCATTGTATGCATATACTCTTTTGTTTATCCACTCATCTGTTGATGGGACACACGGTTGCTTCCATCTTTTGGCTGTTGTAAATAATGCTGCTCTGAACACTGGGGTACAAACATCTGTTTCAGTCCCTGCTTTCAAGTTTTTATAATAACTGTTTCACCTTTTGAGAAGTCACTGAACTGTTTTCTATAGCTGCTGCAACCTTTTATATTGCCACCAGCAATAGACAAGTGTTCCAATTCTCCACATCCTTGCCAATGCTTGTTTATTTTCTGATCACAGTAGTCCTAGTGGGAGTGAAGTAGTATCTCACTGTGGTTTTGATTTGCATTTCTCTAATGGCTAATGATGCTGAACATCTTTTCATGTGTTTTCTAGCCATCTGTATACTATCTTTGGAGAAATGTCTATTCAAGTCCTTTGACCATTTTTTAAAGTGGGTTGGCTTTTTATTGTTGGATTGTAGAAATTCTTTGTATATTCTGGATATTAAGCTGTTATCTGATATATGGTTTCCAAATATTTTCTCCTACTTTGAAGATTGTTTTTTTCACTTTCTTGAGAATATCCCTTAATGCACAAACATTTTTAATACTGACAAAGTCCAATTTACCTATTTTTTTTTCCCTTTGATTGCTTGTACTTTTGGTGTCATATCCAAGAATCCATTACTGAAAACAAAGTCCTCAAGGATTCAGTATTTCACCATGAAGTTTGGGGTTAACCATAGGGTTTTTTTTTTTTTTTTTAAATATAGATTTCCTTTACTGGACTGAGAAAGTTCTCTCTATTCTGGTTTGTTAAAGAGTTTTTTTTTATATTTCATTTTTAAATCATGAATTTATGTTATATTCTGATTTTCTGCATCTATTGAGATGGTCATATAGTTTTTCTCATCTAGTCTGTTGACAGGGTGAACTATATTGCTGACTTACAGGTTGTGAGCCAATCTTGCATTCATTTCTGGGAAAAATCCCACTTAATTATTTCCTTTCCATAAATTTTTTAGGTTAAATTGCTAGTATTTAAAAAAAAAAAAAAAAGTTAGGTTGGGGCTGCTCCCTCCTTCCCTCCCCCCCTCAGGAAATGTGACTACAAAAGGGGAGGAAGTAGGGGACCTTGCTTAATACAACCACCCTTTTACCAGGCGTAGATTTGAGTGTCATCCTCTAACACAGCTAATAATAAAATGATATTTTTTATTCTAAGAAAAAAAAATATTTTTGCTAGTATTTTGTTTTTATATTCATGAGGGCAAATGATCTATAGTTTTCTTGTAATGTCTTTGTGTAGGTTTGATATTAAGATACTTCTGGGCTCATAAAATGAGTTGAGACATGTTACTTGTACTTTCTCAAAGAGTTTACACAGAAGTGCTATTACTTCTTCCTTAAATGTTTGCTAGAATTCACAAGTGAAGATTATTTAGAGCTTCCTCTGAGGGAAAATTCTGAACCATGAACTCAATTTCTATAATAGAGATAGGATTACTCAGGTTAACTATTTCTTCTTGAATGAGCTTTTTAAGAAATTGCAATATTCAAGAAATGTCCATTTATAAAATTTACTGGCTAAAAGTTGTTCATAATATTTATTATCAATTTTTAAATGTCTGTAAGATCAGATGTGCCTGCTCCCTTCCTTCCAGATAACTGTAGTTTATGTCTTTGTCATGAGTCTGGCCAAGAGTTATTAAAATTATTGATCTTCTTAAAGATCCAGCTTTTAGCTTCATTCATTTTCTCCACAGTTTTTCTATTTTCATTGATTTCTGCCTTTTCTTTACTATTAACTTCCTTCTGTTTGCTTTAATTTGCTCTTTTTCTAATTCCTTAAGGTTTGGCAGCTTAGATAATTGATTTGAGATCTTTCTTATTTTTCATTATAATCACTGAATGCTATAAATTTCTACTTATTTTTCCACCTAAACACTGTGTTAGCTGGACTGTACAGATTTTTTGTTTTCATTATCTATTTTTTCTTTCTATAGAGACCCTTTTATTAAGCCTTAAACAGGACAAAGACAATCATCCGAGTAAGGGTAACAATCAGTATATACCCAGTACAGAGGTCGATGGAATCCCTTCTTTTCATTTTCATTCTATTCAAGATGTTTTCTAATTTCCCCTTTCTTTTTGACTTAATGGGTTATTTAGAAGGATGTTTTTTAATTTCCAAATATTTAGGGATTACCCAGGTAGCTACATTATTGCTTTTTCATTAAATTCTGTTATGGACAGAAAACATACGAGTTTCTATTCTTTTAAATTTGTTGAGTTTGTTTTACCACCCAGAACATGGTCATCTTGGAGAATGTACCTATGTACTTGAAAGGAATATCTGTTTTGGAAGTGTTTTTGGGTAGAGTGTTCTAAAAATGTCAATCAAATCAAGCTAGATGGCAGTATTGTTCAGGTATTCCATCTCCTTCCTTATTTTCTATCTACTAGTCATAGTGGCTAAGACACTTGCCTGCTAACCAGACGGCTGGCGGTTCAAACCCACCAGCCACTCCTCGGAAGGAAGGTTGGGCAATCCTACTTCCGTAGTGATACTGCCTCAGAAACCCAAGGAGGGGTCGCTATGAGTCGGGGCTGACTCGACGGCACATAACAACAACAACAACAACAGTTCCATTGATAAGGAGCCCTGGTGGCATAATGGTTGAGTGCTCAACTGCTAACTGAAATGTTAGCAATTCAAATCTGCTAGTGGCTCCAGAGGAGAAAAGACCTAGCAGTCTACTCCTATAAAGATTACTCCATTACTGTCAACTCACAGGAACCTATAGGACAGAGTAGAACTGTGCCACAGGATTTCCCAAGCTATAAACCTTTATGGCTCGGAAAGAAGACTGGGCAATCTACTTCCATAGATATACTGCCTTGGAAACACAAGGAGGGGTCACTATGAGTTGAGATCAACTCGACAGCAGTGAGTTTGGTTTTTGGTTTTAAACCTTTACGGAAACAGACTGCCACATCGTTCTCCTGTGGAGAAGCTGGTGGGTTTGAACTGTCAACCTTCCAGTTAGCAGCCAAGCTAACAGTACACAAGTACACAAGTTCTACTGATTACTGACAGAGGGGTATTGTCTCTAATTAAGACTGTGGATTTGTCTATTTCTCCTTTTAGCTCTATTAGCTTTTGCTTCAAGTACTTTGGAAAGTACTGTTGATAGGGTGGTTTAGGACTGGTATGTCTACTCGATGAACCATTTAATATTTATGTAATATCCTTGTTTATTCCTGGAAAGACAACAATATTTTATATGTGACTAAAAATCCACATCAAAGCAGGACCATAAAAAAACCCCAAATATTAGTGATTATACTTTCACTTAGGGCATACCTCCAACTGTCTCCAATCCCAATTTCCTCTCTTGAGGAATCCACAGTAAGTGGAACAAACTTCTGAAGGTTGGAGTAGCTTACCGTGTTATGTCACAGAGGTTCTGAAAGACCTTGTCTGGGTTCTGGCCATCAGGGCCACTCACATGCCCTGCTTCCTTTAGCTGCTGCACCTTCTGCAAAGCCACACTTACTGCATATCGCATGAACTCATTGCTAGACCTCAGAACAGACAGGCTTTCTTCGTGGCTTTGGGTACCATCCCTAGAGAGAAACACAGATTTCTCCTTATTGCTATTGGGGTCTGGAGTTAGGCTTTTGAAAGATTTCAGAATATCAGCAACCAGCAAACTCTGAATAGCAGACTTTCTAGCCAGCCCATGCTAGGGTCACTGTCATGGCTGCCCTTTTATAATGACCGCCCTGAGTGCTGCCTAATTTTCTTCTCCCTGACTCTATCCTTTAAATTTGGTAAAAATTAAATGTCAGTCTTATTCTTTCTCTATTTTGTTGTTATTCCTTTGTATTTTTAATCCATCCTTTTTCTTTATTCCTTTTTTACCTGTTATTGTGTGTGTTCATGCTTACCCATTGTTGTTGGGCGATTCTGCCTTACAGTGACCCTATGGGACAGAGCAGAACTGCCCCATAGGGTTTCCAAGGCTGAAAATATTTACAGAGGCAGACTGCCTCATATTTCGCCCACAGAGAGGCTGGTGGGTTTGAACTGCTGACCTCTTTGATTAGCAGCTAAGTGCTTTTTAACCACTGTGCCACCAGGGCTCCTTATGCTGTCACTTAAATAGATTTTCTCAGAATATCTTGCTGGAATTCATCGCTATCTTTTCATTCATTAGTCTATTATTTCTGATTTTCCCTTCAATAATCTGAGATACCTCTGTGAAAAGCCTATCTAGGACATTTCAGCTTTCATTTCAAGAAAATTACAAACCTTCTGTAATACAAGTGAATCTGGGTAGAAAGTCTTTAAGTTCTTTAAGCAATGTCTTAGAACCTTACCTGAAAAGAGCGGTGAGAAGATCAGACACAAATTTCATAGACAAAAGACTATCATGTGTTCGGTTGGTCAGTTTAGTTTTGCCTTTATTAGCTTTTTCTTTAAGGATGTCAGAGAGTTTCTTGTAACACATAAACAAGCTCAGAACCTCCTCAAACTTGTTTTTACTGCGTAAAAGGAAAAAGAGACCACCAAGGGCAAGCATCAGAGTATTGTGGTTTTACATACAGTAATAAGGACATTATAATTATAATGCTTCTTTAGATGTCAAATTTTCAACACAACATTATAAACAACTAGATCTTCATTAACATAGCCCTTCCTGGGTCATACCAATCTATTTGGGCTATTACTTTTTTCCCCCCTCCTATATTTATGTCAGTCAGTGCAGAACATTATCAATCAAAACTTCTCCATTCAAATTAGAAGTTCTTGAGTTCAGGGTTTGGGTAATTTCTAAGCATGTTGGAGGGTCACTATTCACAGGGCTGTTTTACATATGCTTTTGTGTTCTCTGGTGGAAAGAAGATAGTCTAATCTCAGACTAGATATCCACCTAAGAGATAATATCATGATCTGTGTCTGTTCAGCATATTGCTAGAATTAAAATAAATAAATAAATAAATAAAACCAAACCCCACACACAAAATGGAATGTTCATCAAACCACAAATGGAATCATAGCAACCCCTTACCTGAAATTACTTATGGAAAAGTTATATTCTATTAAAACCTCACAAATTCCCATCACAAGAAAAGTACAGAAATTATTTTTGATGCCAGTATCAGTAGTCTCAGAAAAATCTGATGATTTATCCTAAAAGACACAAGATAAAATTAATAAGCTACTAAAAACTTCTATTATTCAGTGTAGCTGAGGACCTAGCAATTACCAGCTCGAAGTCTTCCAGCTCACTCTTAATCATTCTATTAGTGATGGATTCCAGCATATCATCCAGGGCTTGGTAGAATCCCTCTTCTTCCTCTTCTTCTTCTTCCTGCTGTAGGGGCATCACTTTACTCTTATACCAGGCCAAACAGTGCTGAACACAACATAGCAGATGAGCCTGTACAAGGAAACAATGAAATGTTCTCAAGTGTTAAGGGATAACCTATGAAGCTGTTCATAACCAGCAAATTCTTGTCTATGAAGCTAGTTATTCATTAGCATCACAAATTAACTCAATGTGAATGAGTAAAACTGGGAAAGTTAATTAAACAGAGGCATTGTTTTCTGAACCTTTCCCAAAGGAAGTAGGCTTACAAGTTACTGACACTTGAGATTGCAACATCTGATGTGCTCTCACTGATGTAGTCCAAACAGCTCTGAAGCCAGATTGTGGAGTTAAATTCTCTCTAGTTGCTTTGAGTCTTAGAGGCTACTCTAAAGATAGTTTATGTCAAGGGAATTCTGCAATTCAGCACAGTGTCCTATCCAGGCCAAGGATACTTCATGGCATAGAAGGCACACATAACAGCAAGACCACACTCCCTACTTCTCTTGCTATGAGTTCTAAGTGACATGAGGTGGGGAGTTTCAGTTTTTATCCTCTCCTCGTCATGTCTTTCAGGCTAGATAACAAGAACAGAAAACCATGTTGTGCTATCTCCTCTGAAGGTTCAACAAAGTGCTAACACTAGCTTAGTCTGAATTGTATACTCCCTTCAGGCTGATGATGATGGTTCCCCGGTTTTATCTCCTAGATGACATTGTTCCCTCCATTCCAAAGCATATTTATTTAGTATACATAAACTCAAAGATTTATAAGTAGAAGAAATGATGTTCTTTGGAGGAAATGGCAGATGCCTTGATTTCTTAAACTGCCGATGTAGAGATGTCTTACCCTTAGACCCAAAGTGATGATGGGCCTGGAAAGACAAGTGAGATTTAAGAGCAAAAATTCACAAGGGAGATAGGAAGACAGCTACACAGGGAAAAAGCATCTCTTCCTGAAGATGAACTCTAACCTTAACAGTAAAAATCATGGTTATAGAAAGAAAGAGTCTCACCAGTGGCTCTTGTAGAAAGATTTGATCACCTCGGGTCACAATACAAGCTTCTAATTTCAAAGGAGGCAGCAGATCCAGTTTTGGCTCATAGAACTGTTTTAACTGTAATATAAAGAAAAAGACAACATAGCTCATGAATGCTTTTCATTTTTTTAACTGGTCAAGCTGATGGCACTGTTTAATGTCTAATGCATTCTAAGACTTGTTTCACAACTATCTAAGGAAGAACGCAGCAGATTTTTGCTTTGGCCTGCTGTTCTGGTTACCTAGTGCTTTTCTGACAAGAATATACCACAAATGGGACGGCTTTAACAAACAGGAGTTTATTCTCTTACAGTTTGGAGGCTTTAAGTCCAAGTTCAAAGTGCCAGGCTCTAGGGGATGGGTGAAAGCCCCTCAGCCTTGGGCTTCAGCTCTGCCTCTAGCTCCCAGCCCACTGAAGCTGGAGGCTTTTCTTCACTCAGACAGCTACTGGCTGCTGAGGCTGAAAAGCCCAATGTTGGCAAG